TCCGTCCCTATGAACCAATCCCCTGACGAAGCAAAAGAGATGAAATTAGGGATCGATTGTGAGAAATTAGGGTTTTCTTATGAAGGAGGTGAGAGGGAGTGTGTTTGGTACCTAGGCTAAGAGACGCCGGTCTTTTCACCGGTTTTGGTGAGAAATTTGGTTTCTCGTCTCTGGTTTATTTGAGGGAATTCTGAATTCCAAAATCATCATCATCTCTTGATTGATTTCTCCCCCTCAAATTCTCTCCTCTTCCTCAAATTTTGACAGGTTTGTTGGACTCCCACGGGTTAGTTGGACTCTCGTGCCTTTGTCGGTGACAGTGAAGGATGCTGATGGGGATTTGACTGAAACTCTACGGGAGTTCATTTTTTTTGCACTGCAACAAACTTCACGGGAGTTGAATTCTCATGAAGTTTGTTCAAGCAATAACACTTCACGAGGGTTCAACTGCCGTGAAGTTTTAGCAGTTAGTTAAAAATCTGTTAAACTTCACGGGACTTGAAGTCCCGTGAAGTTTCAGAACTTTTTTTTTCAGAAACCGACCTGGTTTCAGCGACAGGGCTGAAAGCAAGTCGGTTTTTAAAAATATCTTCAAAAGCGGTCGTTTTTTGCAATTAAATGTTCAAATGGGTCTCTTTTAAAAATTTGTCCTGTAAATGTTTCATATGCCAAGAAGTTGGCCACTATGCAAAGACTTGTAAATGTTTCGTATGCCAAGAAGATTTATTATATTGTTCATATGGATGCTATTTCTATAGAGATCATCTGTCTTAGGAGAAAAGAAGCAGAAGGTTGAAAGGGTGGTGAAACGGAGGTAGATGACTCTGAGAACACCACATCTGGTTGTCTTGGACGAAATTCTAGTTCTCTTGATTATGAATCTAATGGGAATCAATGAAGGGTGAAAAACGGCTCCAAAAAATGTCCTAACAATCCTGCAGCAGCCAAACTTTGTGATCATGGACAAGTATCGCCATCTTCTTGAGATCAAAAATTGAAAATAGAAATTTAAGTAGGAGGATTTGTCGTCGCTGACTCTATTTCTTGTTAACCAAACTATCCCTATCGAAATCGCTTTTACAAGAGGTTCAGAACCTCACGACCACTATAAAGTGGTAAAACATAACACCAAATCCCTGCAAAATTTCCAGTCACGTAAGCAATTTCTGCTAGGTAAGACAATTATGTGACAAGGAATTAACCAAAGACCGCAATAGACAACAATTTCTAATTCTGCCGCTGGTAGTGTAAGCAAGCAGTCACCTCTTCTCATGCACACCTTACATAAATATGCAGAGATTGAATCACTATACCCCAATGCACATTGCTAAATGCAAGTTAACCCAATATTTCATTCAAACACTAAAATCTCAACTCTTTAAAATCTATATCAAACAGGAAGTTTGAGACCGAGTAGATGGAAGCAGTTTCACAGTTCAACATACATGGTGACCACGGGTCTCAAGTTGCAGACAATCTTAAACTGCAAATTTTTAGGAGACATTCAAGATGCAGGGGCATCAGCCATTTCATGCTCCACAGGGGCCGGAACAACAGGGTAGTACTTATAGTGCAGCTCACCAACATCGTCACCAGAAAGCTTTTTCCAGCCAGTAGGTCCAACATGATAAACTGCAGATCATAATATCACAGTGATGATAACTAGTAAAAAAGCAGTATCTAAAGTTTCTCCTTTCTTCTTCTTCTTTCTTTCTTGCTTTTTTTTTTTTTGGTGCACGCACGCACACACATATTACCCCTTAAATCATCCATATTTAGAAATTAGCCCAAATCTCAGCATTTGCAAAATTACCCCAACTTCATCAACATTGGAGAGAGGAAAAAACTACTCTCATTTAACTCTCTAAGGAGTATACCTACCGTATTCCCTATATTCAGTTACGTTAAATTTTGTAATTAACTTTTGGCTAAAATGCCCTAAAATGTTAACCAAAATTACATATGAAACTTTCTCAGCCTTTTTAATAAACCTCCGCATAAGCCCGCAATCAACGTCTCCTCCAACATTCTTTTACAATTGAAAATTTACCCATCAACCACTAAAATTTAATGACATTATAAGTGGGGCAGAAAAATTGAGTATGAGATTTGAGGTAGTTCTGCAAAAACTGAGATATGGGGATAAGATTGCAAATATGGATGAGTTAAGGGGCACATATGCAACTCTAAGTTACTCTCATTGCATCAAACTAGATTTGCTATTAACCGAATATATTGATAGGTTCATTTTGATTGGGAAGAGTGAACATACCACTGGCAACTCCACCGCTAGCTCCATCACGGAAGGTTGCATGATAAATAGATCTACGAGCAAGCTCTGCAGCTTCCTCAACTGACATGTCATACCGATACCTAGTAGAGTAATTTTACATATAATGAGGGAAATCACATCTAGCCTTTGAATCTAGACATAAAAGGAATTATTAAACAACAATTACCCCTTATCCAGAACTCCATAAGCATATGGTGACCCAGATCCAACAGAAAATCTGTTCCCCTTGAGCCTTCCTCCTTCACTGTCAACGTAATACAAACCAGGACCCTAAAATGCACGAGGGATAGTTAATCACAGGGATGAAAAAATTCAATGGACAAAAGGCTATCTTACAGCTATGCACATTACCGTTTCATCCCATCCAGCAATCATAGTCCCTACTGAAAGGCCCATTCCACGATATGAATAAAGAATATTTGCCAAAAGTTTTGAAGCACCAGTAACTGAAATCCTACGTTTGTTGGCCAGTTCATGTAGACGGCACTAGACAAAAGAAGAATTGAAATACTTAAAATAAATACGTTTTTTACACCCATTATCTACAGTCAACAACAACTCAGGAAAAAGAAAAGTGAAAGTTAAAACTTACCTTAATGCCAAGATTTCTGTGCCAAAACTGACAGTCTGCAGCACCTCCAGCCATCGTGCCAATCATGTAAGGATTTATCTCAATGATTTTCTTTACAGACTGAGAGGCTGCAAAAAAGGAGGAATAACAAGTGAGACACCTGATCAGGAAATGACACGACATAAGCATCTGTGAAGCTAAATAACAAAATGATATTTTGGCAAGCAGAGAAAACAAACAATTAACTCTGCCAGTGCTATGCTTTATTTTATTGCTAGCATTGTTTGTCCTAAGCTAGGATAATTGAGGGTTGCTTTAGATAGCCGACGGGCAGCGTAAAACATAGTCGAATTCACATGAAAATAAATCCTATTAAATATTCATTGGGGTGTCGCCACCGCAACGCCACCCGATGCAATGATAAATAAGCAAGGTGGTTTGCTAAGGCATTCCCTGAAAGTGACGTGTTACATTGATGTCACCCTGGTGTAATGATAAGTAAGCAAGCGTTACACCGATGTCTCCCTGGTGTAATGATAAGTACGCAAGTGTTCTAAGAATCTACAATCCTCTAATAGGTTGCCAAACAGTATTAGACATAGAGTAGAACGCCAAAAGATGGGAAATAGTAAGAGACTTTTACAAGAGAATAGAATTAGATTAGCTACTTAGAATATAAGTACACTTATCGGAAAAACAATGGCATTAGTAGACATTGTGCTTAGAAGAAAGATAAGTATAATTTATTTACAATAAACTATATGAATAGGTGAAAATTTTAGAGAAATTAAAAAGACCTAATATAAACTTTGGCACAGGAAAAGATAAGAATAAAAAAAGTGGGAAACTTTATAGATAACATAATAAAAAATAGTATTGTAGATGTAAAGAGAGTTGGAGATAGAATAATACTAACAAAAATTATATTAGGAGTAGAGGTTATTAATATTATTAGTACTTATGTACCACAAGTAAGGTTGCCCAAGAGTACTAAAAGGAAATTTTAGGATAACTTAGATGAGTTAGTACAATGAGCCCCATTAGGAGAGAAATTGTTTATAGGAGGGGATCTTGACAAGCATTATTAGTAAGGATAATGACGGATATGAGGATACATGGAGGATTTGGATATGGAGATAAGAACGATATGGGAGAATCAATTTTAGAGTTTGCAACAACATATGATCAAGGTTATCGATAGCGGATAGCGTCGCGTAGCGGTGAGGCATCGCTAAGGCTATTTCAAGCTATTGCGACAAAATAGCGGTAAAAGCGCAAAGTCAAATAACGGTCTAATTTAGATATGTATAAATACTAAAAAAATTAAAGAAAAATCTAAAAAATCTAAAAGTACATATTGAATGATTTAACGAGATCCTAAACATGAAATAGACATGTAACCATCACGTAATACCAAAGATGACTGGAGGAGTCAAAAAGTCGTCGTCTTCGAGAAGAAGAGCTTAGCGGTGATAGGGTTGCCCTAAAAGGAGCTCACGGTGAAGGAGGTGAGAGGAAGTATCAAGGTAGGTGTCAGAGGCTATAAAAGATGGCGGGAGTATACTGAAATTCACAGGAGACAGTGGAATGCAATGGTCAAGGGTTGAATTTAATTTTAAAAAATAAGCCACAAACCGCTTTTAAATAGCAGTCAAAAAGAAAATATCGAATGCAATCACTCATTATTTAGTGTTATGACACACTATTGACCGTTTTTGCGAACACACATTCCGCAATATGTCACCGCTATTGTGCGATAGCGTAGCGGACGATAGCGTCGTGGGAAGGAACCGCTAATGCTATTAGCACCGCTATTGCGGGGCTATTTATCGCTATTTATAACAGTGCATATGATTTGATAATAGTAAATACACAATTTACAAAAAGGATGAACGCTTAATAACATTTAAAAGTGGATTTAATAGTAGTCAAATAGACTATTTTCTTACTAAAAGTGTGAATAGGTTAACATGCAAAGATTGTAAAATTATACTAGGAGAGAGTTTAACTACACAACATAGGTTGATGATATTAGACATGTCTATTAAGAAATTGAAGAAGCAAAACTAACATGAACAAGAGACTAAGAACTAAATGGTGGAACTTAAAAAGAGAAAATTTTATGCATTTTAAAAATAAAATAACAAAAAAATATATATAGAAATAAATAATGAGAATATTATGTAGAATAACATGTCTTCATGTATTAAGAAGGTAGCTAGGAGAATTAAAAGGTCATATATTAAATGGTAAGAAGAGCTGGTGGGGGAATGAGGATGTGCAAAAGGCAATTAGAGAGAACAAAATATTATATAAAGAGTGGCAAAAGTGTAGGAGCAAGAAAAACTTGGAGAAATATAAGCTAGCGAGGAAGGGAGCAAAAAGAGTGGTTAGTGAGACTAAATAAAAGACTTATGATAAATTATATAAGTTAGAATCTAAGGAGGGAGAAAAAGATGCATATAAGCTTGCTGAGATTTGAGAAAGGAAGAGTAGGGATTTGAGTAACATTAGGTGTATTAAAAGTAAAGATCAAAGAGTTATAGTAATCGATGAGGAAATAAAAGAGAGGTGAAGGAGTTATTTTCATAAATTGTTTAATGATAATTAAACAAGTGAGCAACATAGGGCCCTTGACCACCATATAGTAAATGATAGAAACTACAGATATTGTAAAAAAATAGGATTAGTAAGGCTAAAAATGATCTAAATAAAATAAAAAGTAAAAGAGCCGTAGGGCCAGATGGTATCCCTATTGAAGTTTTAAAATGTCTTGAAAATATAAGCTTAGGACAGTTAACTAAATTATTTAATAAAATTATCGAGACAAAAAGGATGCCCAATGAGTGCTGGATTAGTACTTTGACACTGATATACAAAAATAAAAGACATATGAAGCTGTTCAAATTATCGTAGTATAAAACTCATGAGTTATATTATAAAATTTTAGGGAAAGGTAATTGAGCAAAGTCTAAGAAAGGAGATAACTGTATCTGAAAATCAATTTGATTTTATAACCAGAATGTCAACTATGGAATCTATAATATTTTCAGCTAGTTGATGGAAAGATATAGAGAGGATCTGCATGTGATTTTCATAGATCTAAAAAAAGCTTATGATAAAGTACTTGAAAAGATAACGTGGTGGATTTTAGAAAAGGAACATGTATCCAGTATATATATTGATGTGATTAAATACGTATGATAGAGTAACAATTAGACTAAGAACTAATGAATGAGATATTAAATTATTTCCTATTATCATAGATTTACACCAATGGTCAGCCTTAAGTCCTTATCTTTTTACATTAATTATTGACAAACTTACTAGGCATATTCAAAATAAAATCCCATGATGTTATTTGTGAATGATAGTGTTAGCTACCAAAACTAGAAAAGGTATAATTTCTAAAGTAGAAAGGTGAAAACAAGCTCTTGAATCTAAATATTTTAGAATTAGTAGAACAAATACAGAATATATAGTGTATTTTTAGTAAAACAAAGAAAAAAAAGAGTATAATACATATTGATTGTCAAGAAATATATAAAAGTAATCATTTTCGCTAACTATGATCAGTCATTCGACATGATAGTGAGATTGAGGATAATATTGTCCATCGAATCAAATCGGAATTGTTGAAATGAAAGACTGCTTTGGGAGTCTTATGTGATCATAGAATACTAATGAAACTAAAGAAAAAATTCTACAGAACGGTTATAAGACTAACAATGTTTTATGGACAAAGTGTTAGGCAAGTAAAAACATGTGTAAGAAATGAGTAGCAAAAATGAGAATGTTGTGATGGTCATGTGGGTCTAAAAGATAGGAGAAGAAATGAGTGCAACTGTAATAAATTAGATATTACTCCTATTGAGGATAAAATGAGAGAATAGACTAAGATAGTTTGGTCATGTACAACAGAGAATTCTTAGTACACTGGTTAGGAAAAGTGATAGTATTATAGTTAATAGCGCTCGGAGATCTAAATGTAGACCTACAAAAAAACTTGGTTAGAAGCAATTAAGAAGGATATAATTATATTTAACTTAACAGAGGAGATATCCCATAATAAAATGGAATGAAAGAATATAATTTATATAGCTCACCTCAAACATTTGGGATAAAGTCTTTGTTGTTATTGTGGAACAAGACAGATAATTGCTTATCTTCAATATAAAAGATCATACTCAGTGAAGTTTAAGTTTCAAGCCTATTCAGTGGAAAGATCTAAATTTTATTATTCAAGTTTAGCATAATCTTTTAACTCCACGGTGTGGTTGGCTTTTTGGTTAGCCAATGGCTAAGAATTGAGGAAGCTGTCAATGTGGATTTGGAGAGCACCACTCCTACAATAATGAATGATAGAACTTATTTTCATATTTTTTAAATATATATCCTCCTAGCTCGAGTCAAATTTGGTAGTCACCATAATTTTGACACTGGAACTTCAACAAAGTTAATTACCCCCTTTTTCCTTGTAGCATAGCTCATAGAATTATTTCATTCATCCATGATCCATATAAGCCAGACTAATTGTATTGAACCCCTCCAACTCTTATCAAATATCTACTTGCTGATTTATAAACAGATTTGTCTTGAGTTATAAACATTAGTTAGTCAAAAACTATAGATGTTGCTGCTGCTCTTGCTCTTGTTGAACGATAGAACATGATGGTATAAACAAAACAATTATATCCAACCAAATGTAGGAAAATATATTTGGGAAATTTCAAGTGCGTCCAACCAAATATGTGAATTCTAGATTTATTATCCCACCAAACGACGTGAAACTGCAGTTCAATGTATTTCATCAATTGAGAGAAAGCATAAAATTGAATTGCTAGCCTCATTAAACACTATGCATAGGATTTATTGATGACTGCGTCAGAAACTGCTAAAGCCGCATAAACTCCCATCTAATCAAGGGCCCTTGAAAGCTGCCGCACCTAGACAGCTTCTCAAAAATCTAAACATTAAGAGCTTATTCTCCTTATAAAGCATATACAACAAAATTCCATCTGCGACATTCTCCTGTAACATTAACAGATTATCGGCAGCAAGTGAAGCCATAATAGTTCTACCTAGATGATCTCGATGTTTGCAATAAACAAAAATCTCATAGTCCATC